CTTTGAACCTTTCCTCATTATGAGTTATCACTATAGCTAGTTAAATCAAACAAAACTCTACCCTAATGCCTAACTCGATGGCAGAATCTCGCAATCCATGCTCTGGAAGTGAATCACTCCTTGATCCAGATCATACCCAACATTGTACCCTTGCTGAGCCATCATCCCGACGACGCTGATCGCCGGCGACCGGACGAAGGCGAAGCAGAAAACATCATCCTGAACCTGCTTGAACATGCCGTTGTTATCCGCCACGAGATCCGCTCCTCCGGCGAACTGCAACCCTAGGGCCGGAAACCCCTTGGTGTCTTGGCCCACCGTTCCTTTGTAGCAGAGCTCGTAGGGAGCCGTGGGGTTGACTCCGGTGAGGACTCCGGAGGCTAGCTTGATGACCTCCGCCTTCACCGCGTCGTAAGCCTCCGTGTAGAGGAAGGTGAGCTCTGCTCCGGTGTCGATGAACACTCCTCGGGTGATGTCGGACATCTTGAGGAAAACTTCCTGGCTTATGTTCAGTGCCTTGCAAAAAAGTGAAAAGAAACAATTGTGTTTGTTCATCAAAAAGAATGTTAATTAAATAGGAATGGCAATGTGCATGTAAGTCAGGCTGGTATTTCGATATCCATATTTATTCCATGATTGATCAAACTCATATCGGATGACTTATTAAGGAACATCGGTCGGGTTACTATGGATATGTAATTTAAGGAAAAACATTAGAAATATTAAATTTTTTAGAAAGAAGAAACAAACTATAACATGATAAATATACGATAAATAGAGGTTCTGACGTATTTACAATTTTATTGTAGCTAAAATATGAAGGAATGAAAGTAAAAATAAGAATGCCAATGGACATGTCAGACGTATATGTAATTTAAAGAAAAATTTAACTTTTTCAAAAATTAAGAAACAAAATATAGTTAAAAATATTCAATAAATTGAGTTTCTCATGCATTTATAAATTATCGTAGCTAAAATACGAGAGAATAAAAGTAAAAATTTAAGCAATTTAAATAAAATTACATGCAGTTTAGGTAAAAACGGATAATGGAACGAGTCAGGGGAGGTTAGATCGAGAAGTGTACCCATATCTGTTCCATGTACTTACCCACCCATAACAAGTCAAACAAAACTAATAAAACGAATTATGTTGAAATTTACCTCCAAAGATATTTTTGAGCAAATCCATAACGAGTTTTATAATATTAAATTTTGATTTGGGCACATCTCTCTACTAACAAATAAAATTCACGAGGAATTGAATTATAAAGATATATATACCTGGCCTCCAAGGGTGATGCCGTTCACAAAGACGTTGTAGGCGCCGTCCCTGAGGGAAACCCTAGCGGTGTCGCCGGCCAAGTAGGCGCCACGGCCGATGGACAGGCGGTTGTGAGGGTAAGACCGGTCGGCGATGCTGCCGGTGCAGTACGAGAACTTGTCGCCGAACTGGTTAACCAAAGAAAAGTGCCCGGATCCAAGGGCTAGTATTCCGTTGAAATTCGGGTCGACACTACTCCCGACGCCGGTGAGCGAACTGCAGCAGCCGAATACGAAGCTTGGCACGACGGCGGTTTGTGTTTCCCCGCCGCCGGCGGGGGCAAGGAAGGTGAGCTGCTCGGAGGCGAGGACGCCCTCGCTGGTTTGGTTGCCGAGGTACGACATTGTGTACATGCAGTGCTCGCCTTTCGACGATCAATCATGGCCACAAAAAAATTACAAAATATATAATATGTTTTAGTTAGTTAAATACGGTACGGGTACGTTATGATTTTAATGCTTTCTAATTCTTTAAGGGGTTTGTCTAACAGCCTGTTTGGATACAATTCCGGAAGAAATGGAAATGGAAATGGAATTCAATTTTTTATTTTTATAGAATTCCATTTCCAATTCTAGTGTTTGGTATAATTCCTACAACTATGGAAATGAATTGCACTTTTAACCATAATGAATAATGTAATATGTTTGTTTTATTTTGGGAAATGAAATATGAATGAGAGAGAAAGAGAGTAAAATGATAATGAGTCAACAAAATAATAAAAAGTATTGATGGGTCCCACTAATTCCATCTTCATTCTCTCAATTTCTATTACTTTTGATAGGAATTGTAATTCCCATATTTTAAACCCATTGGAATTCAATTCTCAACCTTTTTATTATTCCAAACATAATATATGGAAATGGAATTGGAAATAGAATTCCAATTCCTTACTTTTTTGTCAATCCAAACAGGCTGTAAGAGATTCGCGATATAACTAGGAAGACGCTTTAAATACCACACATGAGTTACCGGACATGCCAGTTTGATGTAGCCCATTTGATACCTTCGTATCCGAGAATCAACAAATTCAAGCTATAACTATTGGAATAAAGGTATCCGTTGTTATGGAATTAGGTTCATTTCGGTCAGTAAAATTGATAAATTAGGCGAAGATGAAGATGCGGAAAGAGAGGGATTCGATCCGAATGAATCATCCTTTCCACGGAGGTAAATCTTTGCCTGCTAGGCAAGAGGATAGTGGAACAGAATTGATTGGGTGGTAGAGTCGTGGAAACACCTGTTTCTTCCATATTTTGGACATGAAACAATATGTTACTGCTGAAACTTGGAAGAATGGAAATCTTAGATCAAAACACCATGTGAGATTTCATACGAAATTTTCGCCTAATTTGTAGATTTAAAAGTGCGAACCATCATAAATACAGGGGAAATGAGGTGGTTTTAAATGCATTTACTATGTATATGGACGGAAAAATGAGACGACTCTATGTGGTCATTTGGATGATGCATTTCAGAAACGGGGTAATTAATCTAATGTCTTGAAATTGCGTGATCTCATATGCATTATTTCGAAATACTTGTACCTCTCACAGTTAGTTCAAATTGATGCAAAACAAAACAACTAAAAACAGAACAATTCAAATGTGTAGCATCATATATATAAACTGGAAAAAAATGAGAGTTTTATATATGGCCGGATAAAGAGACAACTTTATGAGGTCTTTTAGCTAGATGATTGATTTGACTCTAACTTCTTCAAAATTATCTCATTTCACAATTGATGCATCATTTCAAAATACTTGCATCTTCCTTTGTTGACTCTTGTGGCAGGTTCAGTCTCTTGAACCTTCGCCTTTGCTGTCTTGTATTTGATTCTTTGTCTAATTTATTTAATTATCACCATTATAAAAAAAATTGATGCAAAATGAATAAATTCAAATTTTCTCAGCTCAAAATTGCTGCATCCTTATTTTGTATTGCTAAGAGAGAATCTGACCCAATTACTTCATTTACAAACAAATAGGATAAATTAACTTATCTAAATCAATCATCAAAACAACCCCTATATAAATAAGGCGACAAGAATTTTAAACTCATTTACTACGCATATAGATACTATACACAATATATTCAACGACATAACCACTTCAAATATGGTATACTCTAGGAGTATATAAATATTTATTGTAATTTAATGATATTTTTTTTATATATTTCTAATGGATGCTTAGGAGAGAGAGAGAGAGTAGTCTTTTTACCATCGCACTTCTGGCAGTCGTCGGTACACGGCAGCGCATAGTAACTCTTGGACTTGGCCGGATCGAACAACGCCGTCGCCGCCCCGCCTCCCGGCGAGCACGGACTACAAGGCAGGCACTTCACCCACGTCAGGCTGCTCCCCGTGTCCATCACCGCGAGCTGTTGCACCGGCGGGTCGCCGATCGAGAAGTTGACGTAGAACACGTTGACCGTCGCGGCCAGGACCAGCCCGGCCTCCACGTCGCGCGGCATGTCCTCCTTCAGCGAGGACAAGTAGCGGTGGCGGGCGAGGGAAGCTTCCGCGGCCCTCGCGGCTCGACCGGCCACCGTCTCGGCGGCGTCGTACGACGGCGAGAATGTGGAGTCGCGATGGATGAGGTGAGTCGTGATTGTCGACGAGCCATGGGATGATGAGGATGTGAGGGCAAAGGAGAGGAAGAAGAAGAAGAAGAGTGATGGGGAGAAATATGATGTTGTTGGTGCCATGAGGGAGAAAGGAAGAAAGTGATGCTAATTCTAAAGGTTGGAGCACCAATTTTTCACCTATATATAAGTTGGATGAATTGATATGAAATTATTCCCTTATAAGTATTCAAGACAATGCCATAATAGTCTTCGCTCCTTTTCTTCTTTAGAATTTTTTTTATTAATTATATGCCATAGTTACTTAGCATGGACATGGAAATTACATTATATATGTTAATGGTTTTTTTTTGTTCAATAAAAATAATAGTATTACCACTTTTCCATAAAAATATATGGAAGTTAAATCTCTGGTTATTGACTTATTATGAATAGGAATAGGAATTGGTCAGATACTTTGACCTAATTTTCACTGTCTATATTTTATAGGGGTATACAGGGAGTCTTATCCAAATGGACTCATATATAATTTTAATGATTGTGAGTTGGGTTTAAACATGATCCAATATGAGTGAATTTGTTTGAGTCCGATTCAAATGTGTCTATTTGAGTGCAGATGACTATACACATAATTATACCATTAAGTAACGTTGGTGTTTGCATATTTCTTTTTGTTTTATAAGAAGGCAAAAATTACATTAAAATTGAGTATCCATTATTTTTTGGGTACTCAATATTATGAGTCCAATTTATACTCACACTAAAATGTTGGGTATGCATCTCTCGCGACGGTAAAATTACCCAGATCCTATTTTACTCATACTATGACGAGTTTGGCAGTATCCATCCTCGATTATGATGTTATGATACCCGAGACAAGGGACTCAGAGGACAGAGGTCACTATGTTTTTTCTACAGACGATTGATGCTACTCAAAAGTTTTATGTACCAACTAATCGACGGTTTTGATCTGAACAAATTTATATTTTCAAAATGATTTATTCATGATAAATTTGTCGTTACATCATCCAACCGAAACTAATCGACCACAACAAGATCTGACCCCTCCAAACTAATTTGCAACGATACACTAAATCTAACTATCAGGCAAAATCTGGCAATCCATGCTCTGCAAGTAGACCTCCCTCGCTCTCAAGTCATACCCAACATTGTAACCTTGCTGAGCCATCATCCCGACAATGCTGATCGTCCCCGTCCGGAGAACGGCGAAGCAGAACACGTCGCCGGTGACCTGCTTGAACAACCCGAAGTTATCCACCGTCACCTCCGCCCCTCGGGCGAACTGCAGCGCCATCGCCGGGAACCCTCTGGCTTCTCTGTCCACGGCTCCTCTGTAGCAGAGCTCGTACGGTGACGGCGCCGGAACCTGTTGCAAGATCGGGTTGGCCAGCTTCACGACCTCTGCTTTTAGCACGTCGAAGACTTCTGTGTAGAGGAATGAGAGCTCTGCTCCGGTGTCGAGAACCACTCCTTGCTTGTACGACATTGTGGTGATAGCTTCTTGCTTTATGTTCAGTACCTAGCGAGAGAAAAGAAAAGGCTAAGCCATTGAGATAAGATACATATATATATATATATATTGAATTTAAAACTTCGTTGGAAAATTTCTCCACTATAAAAATTCTCACAATACAATACTTATATAACTAAAATTTCTTCAAAATACTAGCTAGAGGATGGTGTGGTTCGTTCTAGCGTCAAGCGATCTGTATGGTGGTTCGTTGGAAAGAGAAGCGGTTTACTATTGGATTGTGGCCAATCCAAGCGAACCAGTCCCAAGCCAACCTCGAATCAACATGGATCGTGACATGCTCAAGCGAACCACGATCCACACTAATCTATGTCAAAATTTTGAACAATCGTAACTTTCCACTCGGTTACTTGATCGAAGATCTCGAAAGTTATGCGAAAAAAAAAAAATCGGAACGATTGAATAACCGAGTATAAAGTTACGGTCATTCAAAGTTTTCGACCAAGGCTAGTTTAGTAGATAGAAGGTTGGTTCCCTTCGGTCTGGCGCGATCCGGGTGGTTCAATGCTGATTTGCTTTTATTTGTGTTGGTTTGAGATTGGTTCACTTTGGTTTGACACGACTTGCTATAGATCGCTCCTCTCTCCAGCGAATCAGTGCATAATTCACTTGACATTGAAGCGAATAACGCCGAACTCTAGTATTTTTGAAATTATTTTGTTAAGTGTGGTATTGTGAGATTTTTTTTATAACAACCTTGTATGTACTATGTAGGGAAATTGTCCAACTTCCTTTTAGAGTAAAGAAGGTTTAGTATATGTACCTGGCCTCCTAGGGTGATTCCTTCTATGAACACGTAGTAGATCCCTTCTTTCACTGCAACCGCAGTGGCGTCGCCGGTGAGGTAGGCATTAGCGCCGATTGACAACCGGTTGTAGGCGTAAGAGCGATCCGACACGCTGCCGACGCAGTACGAGAATTTGGAGCCGAGCCCGTCGACCAGAGAGTACGGCCCGGCTCCCAGAGCCAGCAATCCGTTGAAGTTCTGGTCCTGGTGCTCGGTTCCGGTCAGCGTACTGCAGCAGCCGAACTGGACGTTGGGAAGGGCGACGGTGGCTCCGTGGCCGGCCGGAGACATGAAGGTCAGCTGCTCCGTCGCGAGAACGCCTTCGGAGTAGTGGCCGCCGAGGTAGGCTTGTGTGTACATGCACACCTTGTGCGAGAACCATCCTGCCAAACACCAGGGAAATACGACAAATGATTTACGTGGTTAAAAAAAAAATGTGTGTTTGCTAGTTCACGCGCAGGATATAGTCAATTTCACTATACTTCAAGCATATACAGATTTCAGAAGAGTATGTGAAGTATTTATATTACTTCTCCAAGATCTAACCCTAAACCAATATAGTAAAAGAAAAACGGTTATCAACGTAGTCCAGGACATGAACCCAAATAACATTAACCCCTGTGACTTTCCGTCGTAGCGACTGATCTGATAGTTCGATTCGAGTCACGTCAACATATTGTAAAACGCAAATTCCACAAAATACCAACAGACCAATTCCATCATAAATCCAGGATCTTATAAAACGCAAATTTTAACTAAAAATTTCATTTCTCGAATCCACGAAGCAAACCATCCTCAATCCGCGAAAAGGTAGTAATATCGATTTTACCTTGGCACTTCTCGCAGTAGCTAGCACACGGCCGTGGAGAGTAAGTCTTGGACTTGGTCGGATCGAAGAACGTCACGCCGGAGTTGGGCAGGCAAGGACGGCAGGGGAGGCACTTGACCCACGTCAGGCTGCTGCCGGTGTCCATGAGCGCGAACTGCCGCACCGGCGGCTCGCCGATGGAGAATTCGACGTAGAACACGTTGTGGTGGGTGGCCAGAACCAGGCCGGCCTGGACGCCCTCCGGCTGCAGCCTATCGTCGTCGGATGACGACGACGACAGGAACTCGTGGCGCGCGAGGGAAGATTCCGTGGCTCTTTGTGCGAGAGACGACACCGTTTCGGATGCGTTGTAAAGGGGAGAGAATACCGAGTCGCGGTGGATGAGTCGAGTCGTGATCGTCGGGCGGTCATTGGAAGATGTGATGAGTGTTATGGAAGAGGAGAAGATGATGAAGAAAAGGACGAATGTTAGAAGAAGATTTAGCGACGGTCTAGTTGCCGTCGCCATAGCTAGAATAATTTCGAAAACGAATTGAAACACTATTGAAATTTTGGCAGAATGATTTTTATTTCTAAAGTGGTTTAATCTTAACAGGTTTATACTATAGTTGTTCCGGATTATATATAAGGCAAGAATGTTAAGCATAATATATGTTCTTCTCCCTTGCTTAAAATTGTTTTGGAAGTTTATACTTTAGAAATGTATCTATACACATATACATAGAATATTATACGCATGATTTTGGTAGTATGAATCAACAAAAATGAATATATAACAATTTATTAACTATAGTTCTGTTTTTTGCATATAATAGAAAAGGTACATCAACTAATAGTAATTTATCTAATATATATCATTACCATACAATTTCCATAAAAATTATGGATTTTTTCCTTTTTTTTAGTGTGTGATACATATATTACAAAAAAATTCGTGATTGAATTCATGAATCCAACTGACATATAACTTTTGGGCTTTTATAAATTTTTTAAAAAGTTTAGTAAAAATTTTTTTGGTATCATATGAAGTATATTTTTTATTTACAATTCGAAGTTTAGGTATTAAATTATAGATATAAAATATATACAATACTGATTTTATGTTTCCACCAATCCATATAAATCCACTAATGTGTCACATTCAGATGAAATGAATTCGGAGTTAAGTGGATTGAATTAATTGTATTTTTTTTAGTTGAGAAGCGGATCAGATTCAAATTATCATCCCTAAAAGTACCATCTTCGTTACTTGACCCGTAGAATTCAATAACGACGTGCTACCTTTTCAACCAATCATAGAAAGTAAGGACTACGAACCATACTGAAGATTATACCAGAAAAAATCAATATGCGAATAATTTATACGAAACCTGTAATTTAACTGTGATTCAACCCTTTCATACCGCTTTCTCAATGTACTTCATATACACTCACCCTTGCAAGAGCTCACAATCTATATTCTGGAAATACACTTTCATCGCCCTCAAGTCGAACCCAACGTTGTAACCCTGCTGAACCATTATCCCGACGATGCTGAGGCTCTCCGACCGGAGAGCCGCCAGGCAGAAAGTGTCGACGTCCATCTGCACGAACATCCCGAACTTATCGGTGATCAACTCCGCTTCGCCGACGAAGTGAAGTCCCAACGCCGGAAACCCTGTAGCGTCCTTGTCCACCGTCCCTTTGTAGCAGAGCTCCAGAGGGCTCACCGGAGGAACCTCCGTCAGCACCGAGGAAGCCAGCTTCTGAACCTCCGCCTTCACTACGTCGAAAGCTTCTGTGTAGAGGTGGAGCAGCTCTGTGCCGCTGTCCATGGCGATCTTCTTTCTTATGGACATCTTTCTGAAGACATAGGGCTTAATGTCCAACATCTGGTCCAGGCAAAAACAAAAGAAATTATAACGAACTGATTAATAACTCGAGTTATTGAGAAAGATGTGCTTATGACATTGTATGATAACTGGTCTGATCGTGCGTTCAGGTAGTTCAAGTCCTCATGGGATCAGTTGGTTTGTAACAGAACTTGGCTTAAGATTGAGGAATTGTATAAGAAAGTGATTAAAATCCATGCATAAACATTTTTCAACAATTCGAGTTATTATTACTAATTGACTTATGATAGAACTTAGGGCCCGTTTGGAGAATTTGAGTCTAAATCTACAGATTCTAGACAATCCAAAGATTTTAATTCTTTGGATTGTTAAAAAAAGATTTGAAAATGTTCATTGTTTTGTAAATACGATTGTTAACATCCAATAAAAAAGAAATTCTATTTTTTTTATTAAATGACATGTTTATCATTAACCAAAATAATTAGATGGGCTCGAAAAATATTTTTTATAAATTTTGTGGAAATTTATCAAACCTAGTGAACAAACTTTCGTTTGAGGGAATTTATCACAGCTAATGTAGGATATTTTATGATTAAACCGCGATTCTAATCGTTTCAAACCGAAAAAATTCTATATCAACTTGAACTCAAGTAAACAAATTTTCCATCTAACTATTGATATAGTACAGTTTAGCAAACACAGCTAATAACTATTTTTTTGACCTAAATAATGCAAAACATCATGGAATGAATCTTATACTATACACTACACTTAACAACTAACTGTAAGTAGAGCGATAAAACAAAAAAGAAGTCGAGCTAATTATACCTTGCCTCCTAAGCTGATACCGAACATCTGGACGTAGTAATTGCCATGATCGAGGTACAAAGGCGTCCAATCTCCGACCAAGTCGACGGCGTCGCCGAAAGACAGCCGGTTGTGAGGGTACGTGACGTCGGCCAGGCTGCCGACGCAGTACGAGAACTTGCTGCCCAGTCGGGTGACAATCGACTCCTCCCCTCTAGGCAGACTGCTATAGCTTCCTCCGGCCAGCCCCAAAACTCCGTTGACTTGACCGTCAAGGACGTTGGGACCGGTCAGCTTGCTGCAGCACCCGAAGAGCACTTTGGGGACGACGGTGCACCGGCCGTCGGTCGTCCCGAAGACCAGCTGGTCGGTGGCGTATACTCCTTCCGACGTCTGGCCGCCGAGGTAGTCTATTGTGTACATGCAGTGTTTCGGCGACTTTGGCCACCACGATTCTGCGTAACAGGATTCATAGATTGATCAATAGGTCCAAATGACAAATTACGGTTTGGTATCTATACATTTTATATTTTACATTTTGGTACCCAAAATTTAATTTTTTATACGAAAAATATCATTTGAAATTTACGTTTTGATACCTAAAATTTTTCATCATGACATTTTAGTACCTAAACTTTTCACATTTTACATATTGGTCTTTGGTCTTTGGTTGAGGGTATCATTTGGATTCATGGATAATCCACCAATCCACTTGATCCAATCCATGAATCCACTAATCCATTGGATCCTTGGTTGAGGATGTTATTTGGATTCACGGATAATCCACCAATCCACTTGATCCAATCCATGAATCCACCAATCCATTGGATCCAGTCCATTTGATCCATGGATCCACCAATCCAATCTACCAATACATGGATCAATCCATTTGCCACCTGTAGTCACAGGGGAATACAAATTTTCATCCAGTGGTAACAGGATGATGATATTTTTTTTTCTTCGTCTAAATGGATATCATTTCGAAGAACATAACTAATCTGTTGTCTTTGTGTAAAATCTATTCACTTTCAAGTTAAAACGATAATAGAAGGTGGTATAATTGGTGCAAAATTTTTGTTTTTAAATATATCAGAAATGAATATCATGTTGCGGATTATGATGAACCTGTTTTTTTTTTTTTTTTGTGTAAAATTATTTAATAATACGATTAAAAATATGGGAGGTATAAGTAGATTGAATAAGTAGGAAATTAAAATTACTATTTAATCTCAACCACTGAAATTTGACCCTACAAAATCAAGAGACGATATCTAGTGAAAACCAGTGTTTGTAAACCGTATTATATCGGCGATCCGAGATCTGGAAAACTTTCCAACGAAGTCTAAATTGGTAGGCAAATTTTAGCAACTTGACACAATTTAACCACGGTTTCAACATAAAATACCCTACTACTAACTTTTCCAGTACAATACGGATTTACAATTCTTGGTAAAAACACATGAGATTTTGTGACAAGAATGAAATGGTCACGAATAATCATACCGTCGCAAAACATAAAGAAAAAAAACCCCATTGCTTACCGGTGCATTTCTTGCAGGCGGTGGTACACGGCCGTGGAGAGTAAGTCTTTGACTCGAAGGAATAAAAGAAAGTGGCTCCAGAGTCAACGGGGCAAGGACTGCACGGCGGGCACTTGAGCCACAGCAAGTCGCTGCCGGTGTCCAGCAGCGCCAGTTGCTTCACCGGCGGCTGGCCGATGGAGAATCTGATGTAGAATATGTTGTACTTGGTTCCCCATACCAGCCTGGCCTCGATCCCGCCGACGATGCCATCCTCCGGCTCGTCGTCGTCGACCGCCGAGAGGTAGGCGCGGCGGGCGAGGGAGGATTCCACGATCCTTCCGGCGCGGTCGGCGGCGGTTAAGGAGGCGTTGTAGAGAGGGGAGAGGCGGGAGTCGCGGTGGATGAGCTGAGTCGTGATTTTGAAGCAGTGGGATGTGAGTGGTGAGATGGAGAGGAAGAAGAAGATGCAGGGCCGTCCCATGATATTTGGAGGCCCTGTTCAAGAATTTAAAATGTGGCCCCAAAAATTCGGTTACTAAACATTTACAATCCAATGATTTTGCTTCACTTCTAATTTTCGAATCACATGTGTCCAGACTCTTTAATTCTCTGTTTTCTTTTACGCTTAGAACTACCTTTTTCAAAATTTTGGGTTCACATAACTAAAAATTATAACCAAAGATTAGTGATTCCAAATTTCCAATCAATATTAAGTTCCCTGCAAAAGAGAAAGAAAAAAGAACTTAAAATTAAAATAAGTCGATTAATTGCCAGGATAATAGGAATGGACATTGATTAGAAGTTCATTAGAATTGAGTGTGAATAATTAATATTTAGGGGTTGGATGGTTTCAAAAAGTTGAAAATTTTTGGGGAATAGAAAAAGAGAGACGTTAAAAATCTTTACTGTTAATTTTGTTTCATCAAATGGCTTACAGCTAAGTGGTTGAATCTCTTTTTAATGACCTGATGGTCAGGGGTTCAATTCTCCATCCCGTCAGAAGATGCTCTTCTGCATGTGTGTTTTATGTGGGCTGCTTTGCAAGCCCAAGGGGTCTGCTCCGCCTGCTATTCTCCCTGCGATTATGAGGCCCAAGTTGGGTCTGCTCCGCCTGCGATTATGAGGCCCAAGTTGGATCATTATGACTTATGAGGCCCCCGAAAATTTGAGGCCCTGTGCTGTGGGTCTGACCAGCACAGGGCCTGGGCCGGGCCTGAGAAGATGAAGGAGAAAGGGATGAGAGGGATTGATGTTCTTGCGGCCATGGAGATCGAAGGGGGGAAATGGAAGTTGGTGTTTTCACTTTGGTGTTTATTTTTTTTTTTTAATTTTGGGTATTGTGGGGCGTTACACGAATTGATGATCTTTCTAGTTTTTGCATTAAGTAAAAAAGGGAGGTAAATAATAATGAAAGGATGGCACAAGTGATTCATGTACATGCATAAAGTTCAATGGTGCATGTACACCTTTGAACTTTAAGGAAATTGTATAAAACATAGATTTGGTGGGATTGTATTTTCTAGATCATCTTTAAGAAGTAATCGTTATGATTGGAGGATTCGACACAAGATTACACGATTTACATGGTTCACTAATTGATGAAGAAAGGAAAGAGAGGGATTTATGTTCTTGCGGCCATGGAGATGGGGGAAAATGAAAGTTAGAGTTTTCACTTTGGTGTTGATTTTTTTAATTTTGGGTATGTGCCTATGTGGGGCGTTACACGAATTGATGATCTTTCTAGTTTTTGCATTGAGTTAAAAAAGGGATGTAAATAATTATGGAAGAATGACAAATAATCCATGTACATGCATATGTATGTTCTCCTTTGGACTTTAAGGAAATTATATAAAACATAGATTTGGTGGTATTGTATTTGCTAGATCCTCGTTAAGAAGTTACCGTTACAAACCATTTTATCACAATAGTTCGAGTTGTTTTTTTGATAAGGCACAATAGTTCGAGTTGTTATATTAAAGAAAAATTAATTATGGATTGTATATTTCTCTTTTACACTCTCCGGCAAATAAAAACGAACTCATGAACTTAAAGTTTGAACATACCCACCATATATTGTGCTCGTATCAACGGTTATGGCTGAGGATTGTGTAGATTCAACATTCGAACCCAACATTAGATCAGATCGGGTTTTGATACCGTGTCATAAATTGTTACGTCCAAATAACACGAGTTTTTGAAATAATACTAATTATAAATCTTATATCACTCTCTTCGATCTCTAACAAAACGCTTAATCGAATAGGTACAGATAAGTTACGACATACATGAAAAGTCTGCTTTTTTATTCGTTACGAAGATAATTCGTAAATGACGACAATCCTCATGTATACCCATCAAACTCACAAGAGTCGTTAACACAACCACAATGCGGATATTGAACACTTTTTTTACTAACCATATAAGTTCTCTCTAACCTCTACATATGTGTTGGATCAATAATCATCCTTCCAAAAGTTGGCAATCCATTTTTTGGAAACTCACACTCCTTGCTCCCAAATCATACCCAACATTGTAACCCTGCTGAGCCATCATCCCAATAATCGTCACACCCTTTGACCTAACAACAGCCAAGCAGAAAACATCATCCTTAACCTGTAAGAACATCCCAAACCGATCCAACACCAACTCCACCCCGCCGATGAATCGAATCCCCAGCGTCGGAAACCCTCCGGCATCTTTCTCCACCGTCCCTCTGAAACACAGCTCCAGGGGCCTCACCGGAGCCACCGCCTTCAGCTCGAAGAAAGCCAACCTCTCAACCTGTAAGTAGAGGTGGCAATTAGGATCCAAATTCATGAATCCAATCCAATCCATCCACCAAATTATCCACCTAATCCAATCCATTTAAATCCAATCCATTTGATCCAAATCCAATTGGATTGGTGGATTCATGGATCAATCCATTGATCCAAATGGCAAATTACGATTTGATACCTATATTTTTTATATTTTACATTTTGGTACCTAAAATTTATATTTTTATACGAAAAATATCATTGAAAAATTACATTTTGGTACCTAAAATTTTTCATTATGACATTTTAGTACCTAAACTTTTCAAAATTTACATTTTGGTCCAAGCCTTGGATGTTATTTGGATTCATGGATCAATCCACCAATCCATTGGATCCAATCCATGAATCCACCAATCCATTTGATCCATGGATCCACGAATCCAATCCACGGATCCACGAATCCGATCCAATTGCCACCTCTACCTGTAAGTGATTAAAAAGCTTAACAAACTCTTTGGGGCTAATTAAGTGGTTAGTTCGCTAATATGGTATTAGAGCCTATAACTTAAAGGTCATGTTTAGAATCCTCCGACCCCCAATTTAAACAATAGTTTAGTACAAGGAATGGTATGTCCAGCCTGTACAAACTGAAAGACTAATGATTTAACAACACAAGGAATGATATGTTCAATCTGTGCAAACCGTATAAAAAATCCAAAAAAATAGGCTTTCATTTGAAAAGGCGTGTAAGAAGAGATTAAAAAGGTTAACAAACCATTTCTCAATAACTCGAGTTACCTCCGCCTTCACCACGTCGAAAGCTTCTGTGTAGAGCAGAAACAACTCCGACCCGCTGTCCATCACGATCTTGTTCTTCAAAGCCATCTTCGCGAACACGTCGATGTCTATGTCCAGCGTCTTCCCACCTAAGCTGATGCCGGAGAGGTGAACACTGTACCTGTAATATAACTTTGTCCAGTTACATAACACAGTACTCGTGTCGTATAACACAATACTACTCGTACTACACATACTCTAATAGTACATACCTGCCGTCATCCTGGAGGTACAGGGGAGTCATCTCGCCGATCAGGTCGACGGCGTCGCCGAAGGATAAGTGATTGTGAGGGTAGTAGCGATCGGACAAGCTGTCGACGCAGTACGAGAAGCTGGTGCCTAAACGGGTGGCCAGAGAGAAATGGCCGTAAGGAATGGTGGGAGTGTCGGCTCCGGCGATTAACCCTAGAACGCCGTTGACGTGCGGGTCGAGGCCTTCGGGGCCGGTGAGCTTGGTGGAACAGCCGAAGAGGACTTTTGGGATGGTGGTGACGAAGCCATTGTTGGAGGTCTGGAAGGTTAGTTGCTCGGTGGCGTAGACTCCTTCAGAACTGTGGCCGCCTCTGTAGTCTATTGTATACATGCAGTGCTTTTGCGACCATGGCCACCATCCTTTTTGAAGTTTGACTCAAGAAAATCGGTTAAATTTGTAGAAACGAGTAAGTGAAAATGTTATAAACGGTTGGGTTGAAATAATTCGAGTTGTTGAAAAATATCAATTATTAATATTATGTTATTTACTAACACCGCCTCTAGAATGAAATATGTATAATCATGTTTGGTTTCAATAACTCGATTTGTTGGAATATGTTTAATTATGAATATTAGATAATTTACTAACACTACGTTTTTAACGAACATGTATAATCTGTTCGGACCTAATAACTCGAATTGCTGAAATGTGTTCGATTGTGAATATTATACCACTTGCTACACACCGTTCAAATGAAAGCCAACTCATATTGCTTTGAAATTCGCACATGTTCGAATATCATGTGCTTAATAAATGAAGGTCATTGGGATTTAAGCACAAGACCTCTCAGTCGACGGGTCGTCAAAGGCACTGACACCATGGTAAGAATATTTTGATCACAACAACCCGAGTTGATATGTATCTTATATCACTCTCTAACCATGGTCCATGAAACCGTACCGTACCGGCGGTTCAACCACAAAATACCAGTATCGGAGACTAAACCGGTAGACGGTATTTAACGGTCTAACGGTTGAACTATGGTTAAACCACGGTTTTATCATAAAATACCATACCGCTGGCTTTTCAGGTACGATATCCGGTACGGTTTCATGGATCATATCTCTAACATGTTAGTAAGTGGTTAAAATCTATACATGGATCTCACCCAGCAACTCGAGTTATTGTAACCAAACAATTTACGACAATGATATCAAAGTTGGGTTGATCATGAGGTCACGCGTTCAACTCCCGGAGACCTCCAATGTTAAATGTTAATGACTTATATCTAAGCACAAGGTATGTTGAACCTGTGCAAACTTCAAAGCTATGAGCAAATTTTCGTTTAAGAAAGCGGAACAGAGAATGGTATTGAGATCAATAGTTAAATTTTTTCCAAACAATCTTGGAGAGTGGTATAAGATCAGTTTTTAACTTTCTTTACAATTCGAGCTATTGGAATTAAACGGTTTCCTGACGGAAACAACTTGGAAAAATCAACATGAACCTAGTTGAAAATTCAAGTTACCTGTGCATTTCTTGCAGTCATCAGTACAAGGAAGTGGGGAGTAAGTCTTGGAATTGAAGGAGTAAAAGTAGGTGGCTCCAGAGCTGGTAGAGCAAGGACTGCACGGCGGGCATTTCACCCACAACAAGTCGCTGCCGGTGTCCATCAGGGCCAGCTGCGGCACCGGCGGGTCGCCGATGGAGAAATTGACGTAGAATATGTTATACTTGATCCCCCAAGTCCCACTGGCCTCGATATCGACACTCAGCGGCTCGTCGTCGTACGATGAGATCAGGTGACCGTAGCGGGCGAGGGTCCCTTCGAGGATCCTTCCGGCACGGTCGGCGGTGGTCGCGGTGGCGTTGTAGAGGGGAGAGAAGTAGGAGTCGCGGTGGATGAGTTTAGTCGTTATTTTGAAGCAGTGGGAGGGGGAAGAGATGGAGAAAAAGAGGAAGAGAGTGATGATGAGAGGAGATGTTGTTCTTGGTGCCATGGCGTTGGAGAGGGGGAAATTTTGAGTGAAAGGGGATTTCTTTTGGTTTTCATTTGTAAGATTGTTGGGTTGGATATCTTTCTAGATTTTGCATCTAGTGAAAAAGGAAAATGAATGATTATGAAGTGATGAAGATTATTCCAAGTATAAGATGTGTTGTTTAAGAAAATTGATATAGAATTCCTAAGTATTACAGTTCTTTCCAATTTTGTGTTGTTATTTCCATGAAATTGTGGTACATTTCAAATTGGGTAAATACAATTTAATATCCAAACCTTTTATTTTAAACAATATAATAGCCAAACCTTTTCGAAAACAATCTAATATCCAAATCGTCAACTTTCCTTTCGTTTGACCGTTAGTGGACACTTCAAGAAAGCTTTGTTTAGGGGAAATTGTCACAATACAACTTTGTTTTTTTGTTTTGGCATTGCAGATGACTGAATATTTAGATATTCTATACCATCATGGTGGAGTCATGGACTTCTCGAGTTTGGAACTAAGATATGTTGGTGGTTTTTCAGAGAAGATATCGATGGATATTGATGAAGTGTCGTACTTCGAACTTATTTGAAGTGTCAACTAACGGTCAAACAGACAGAAAGTTGGCGATTTGGATATTAAATTGTTTTCGAAAAGGTTTGGCAATTATATTGTTTAAAATGAAAGGTTTGGATATTAAATTGTATTTACCCTTTCAAATTTGACATGTCAAATTTTTTTGCAAAGTAGGAATAGTTTTAATTTTTAGTTTTTAGAGCTGTTACAGAATTTCTATAGAAGTAGAGTAACTTAATTTAGTTTGTTCTACAAGTCATTAACAATATCAAACAGTCTCGTTCGAATTTTTTTTAGAGAGATGTGAATCAAACGTGTTAATATTAAATGTTGTTCAAAAAGTCGCAAGTACAACAATTAATATCTAAGTGAGATAAATTTCAAGTTATGGTGACTCTTGGAGTCTAGCGAGTTAATATATATGTATCGTTGATCAATAACATCATTGGTTTATGCATGGTGCACCTTTCGATCTCCAAAACTAGCTTGGTCGACCTGCACATCAGGACAATTAACCAAATAAGTACATGTAAGTTCCGATCGATATACATAATCTTCTTTTCTATTCGTTACAAAGAAAATTCGTCTACACAACGAAATATAATCATCATGTATACCCGACAAACTCATAAGAGCATCTAACACAAGTACAACGCGAATATTATATATGTGTTTTATCAAATATCATCGTTCCAAAAGTTGGCAATCCATTTTTTGGAAACTCACAGTCATTGCTTTCAGATCATACCCAACATTGTAACCCTGTTGAGCCATCATCCCTATAATGGTCACACCCTTTGACCTAACAATAACCAAGCAGAAAACATCATCCTTAACCTGCAAGAACACCCCAAAATGATCCACAACTGTTAGAAACCGATTTCTGTAGGATTTCTTTATTTACTAATATAATTATTGTTAGAGAAAGTATCAATAAGGGTAGTAGTTATTTAGTAGGATTAGGTTTATTATTAGGGTTTCCTAGTACTCCCTATAAATATGTACTTGTGATTCATTAGTAGTCAGTCAAGAAAGAATTATCAACTAAACTCCTAAACCCTAATCTCTCCCTATCCTCTCAATTCTCGATTCCTATCCCTCCAAGGCCTCGGCCGATTCTCTATTCTATTCTTCTTCTTCCCCAAATCCCCAATCTCAATCCCTAATTCTATTCGTATAAACCCTAATCCCCAAATATCAAATCCGTTAGAAACTTTGTTTCTAACATCTGGTATCAGAGCCTGGTTCCGATCGGTGAGTTCTTCCCAACTCCACCAGGGACAGCCGAGAAACCAGAGGATCAGTGATGGAAAAATCAGAGCAGCCATGGGCTCAGATGCAAGACAGGTTGTGGCAAATTGCGAGCTATTGGAAGAAGGAGGCGGCAGCGTTCGGGCAGGCCGGCCGAGGCGAGGAGGGCGCCGCGCGGCAGGAGGCTGTGCGCGCGACGGCTAGTGGCGGCGCGGGGCAGAGCCCGTTCGTCGGGGCTGGCGGGGAAGCGCCGGGGAGCGCGCGGCCTGCGGAGGAGGGCGAGGAGTGCCGCGACGCGGCAGCAGGGGGGCGGATCGCCGAGGTGGAGGGCGAGACGGCGGAGACCCTCCTTCTGTCCGAGGAGGTCACGGTAGCCATGGTCAAGGCGCCGCAGCCGATCGAGGATGATGAGCCACGGGCACCAATAACAGAGACTCCAAGCAGCATCGGACTGGGGAAAGGAGCATCGCCCCCACCACCGATCAATGCTACCACGGTTGCCCCGTTGAATAAGGATTCTCCAGGGACGAAATCGCCAAAGGAGAAGTCGTCGGAGGAAGAAGTGAAGAGGAAGGAAGAGCCGCTGACGCTCCAGGAGAAGAAGAAGGAAGAGCTGTCGGCAAACCTGGAGAAGAAGGAGCCGTGGCAGGGCGTGACTGGAGACAGGTAACAAAGGAAATTGGAGTGATAAAACCTAGCTTGCTTTTCTCATTACTTACACTGCCAATTTATAGGCAGAACCAGGAACAAGATGACAAAGTTCATACATCTGTTTTGTAGCTTGGAATGGAAACAACTACTGTCTTGGAACGAAAGAAAATACAGCCTTCAACTGGGAAAGAACAATACGCAACACATTGGATCAAACGACATCACAGCAAAAGATATCTCAGCTTGGTTCCAAACGACAGCGCAGCAGGAAAGGAAGAAACGGCAGCGCAGCGTCAAGTTCCGGATTGAGGTGGAGACGACGACGTATGGAAAGTGACCGTTGAAAATGATTTTTCAATCTGTTACCCCCCCGCAAGCTGGTGGGCAGAGGTTTCGCACACCAAGCTTGGAGAGCAATGTGCTGAATGGAGCTGGAGAAAGTGGTTTTGTGAAGAGATCGGCGAGCTGGTGAGAAGAGGAGATGTGAAGAAGTTTGAGAGTACCAGTTTGGAGCTTCTCTCTGACGAAGTGACAGTCCAATTCGATGTGTTTCGTCCTTTCATGAAAGGTGGGGTTCTTGGCGATGTAGATGGCACTTTGGTTGTCGCAGTAGAGGTTGGCAGGAAGCGATGTGGAGACCTGGAAGTCTTGGAGTAGATATTGAAGCCATTGAATTTCAGAAGCAGTGAAGGCAAGAGCGCGATACTCAGCTTCACAGGAGGATCTGGAAACGGTATGTTGCTTCTTGCTTTTCCATGAAATGAGAGAATCTCCTAGATATATGCAAAAACCTGTTGTTGATCGTCTTGTGTCCACACAGGCAGCCCAGTCTGAATCTGTGAAAGCTTTCAATTGAAAGGAACCCTTTGAAGGGAAGAAGAGGCCTGATGCTGGTGCTGATTTGAGGTATCTCAGAACCCTCAAAACAGCCTTGTAATGATTTGTCGATGGAGAGGTCATGAATTGGCTCAATTGCTGTGTTGCAAAGCTGATGTCTGGACGAGTAGTTGTCAAGTAGATTAACTTGCCTACCAGTGTTCTGTAGTGTTCTGGATCCTCATATGGATTGCTTTCTTCATTGCTCAGATGTAATTTGTAGTCCATTGGAGTAGTGACAGGCTTGGAATCTAGAACATTTGCTTCTTCTAGTATTTCCAGTGTATATTTCCCTTGTGATAGATGAATGCCAGTATTGCTTCTTGCTACTTCAATGCCAAGAAAGTATCTCAAGTTTCCAAGATCTTTGATGCTGAATTCACTGTGCAACAGCTCTTTTAATGCCTGTATTTCTGTTAAGTCATTGCCTCCTATGACCAAATCATCGACATAGATAAGAATGCATGTGTAGGAGGAAGATGTCACCTTGTAGAACAGAGAATGATCTGCTTTGCTTTGAACATATCCAACCTGATGAAGCTTGTCTGTAAGTTTAGAGAACCACTGCCTGGAAGCTTGTTTCAAGCCATAAAGTGACTTTTTTAGTCGACAAACTGGGTTGGAAATGCCAGGAGGAGGAGTGAATCCCTGAGGTAGTGTCATGTAGACTTCTTCTTGTAGTTCTCCATTGAGAAAAGCATTATCCACATCCAATTGATGGATATGCCAGTTTCTGAGTGCTGCAATAGCTAAGAATGTCCTGACAGTAGTCATTTTGATGACTGGGGCAAAAGTGTCTTGAAAATCAATTCCTTCTTGTTGTGTGTTGCCTTTGGCAACCAATCTAGCTTTGTGTCTCTCAAGGGATCCATCAGATAGGAATTTGTCTTTATAAATCCACTTGTTGCCAATTGGTTTCTTGCCTGGTGGTAGTGAAACCACATCCCAGGTTTGATTTTTGATCAAAGCCTTAATCTCTTGTTGCATAGCTTGATTCCAGATGTCATGTTTGGAAGCTTCCTTGTAACTTTGTGGTTCATGGTGACTGGAAATGCTCATTAAGGACTTTCTGAATGGAAGAGAAAGATTGTTGTAGGAAAGAAGTGAGGAAAGGGAGTACCTGTTGTCTTTGATCTGGTGCAGATTGGAGTGATTGATACTGCTAGGACCTTGAGATAGGTAACAATGGTAGTTCTGGATGAGATGAGGAGGAGGTTTTGATGTTCTGTCAGAACGTCTGATTTCAGGTTGTGGTTGAGGAGGGGGAGATGGTGGTGGGGTTGGTGAAGAAGAGACAGGAGAAGAAGTATCAGGAGATGTAGGTGGTGTGGAAGGAGGAGAAGAGGGAGGGGTTGAATTAGATGAAGATGGGTTGTGTGTACTATCAGTGGTGGTGGATGGATCTTCATTTTGTGGTCTTGAAGGGGAAGTTGGTTCATGAAGCATAGGGGAATTTGGATGAGGAATGGGGAATAGAATGTCTGGATCAGAGGGTAAAGATTCTTGGTCTTGATGAGAATGGAAAGGAAAATGAGATTCATAGAAGATGACATCTCTAGAGGTGAATGTTTCATGGGTGGATAGGTCATAGAGTTTGTACCCTTTTATACCAGGAGTGTATCCAATGAAAATTGATTTTCTGGCTCTTGGTTGAAATTTGGTTCTGTGGTTAGCCAGTGTGCTGGCATAACACAAGCAACCAAAGACTCTTAAGTCAGTAAGGTCTGGGGGTTTGTTGTAAAGGATCTGAAAGGGGGATTTGTTTGAGAGAATAGGGGTGGGGACTCTGTTTATCAGGTGTACTGCATGTTTGACACAGTCACCCCAGAATGCAGGAGGTAAGTTTGCTTGGAATTGAAGAGCTCTAGCAACAGCAAGGATGTGTTGATGTTTTCTTTCCACCTTGCTGTTTTGCTGAGGTGTTTCAACACAGGACATTTCATGGAGAATGCCTGTTGAGTTAAAGAAATCTTCCATTTGGAATTCTTTACCCTGATCACTCCTAATGGTTTTGATGGTGGACTGAAACTGTCTTTGCATTTGGTTGCAGAAAGCAATGAGTTTTGGTCTTGCTTCTGACTTTAAATGAAGGAGAATAAGCCAAGTCATTCTAGTATAGTCATCAACTACAGTTAAGAAGTATTTGAAACCATCATAAGAAGGAAGAGGGTTAGGGCCCCAAATGTCTACATGTATGAGTTCAAAAGGTAACTGTGTTACAGACTGGCTGATAGGAAAAGAAAGTCGTTTTTGCTTGGCAAAATGACAAACATCACATGGTTGATCCTTCTGAGTAGTAATGGATGTACAAAATTGGTTGAGAAGTGGTATTTTAGAGTGAGATACATGTCCTAGTCTAAAATGCCACAAATCAAAGGTGGAGGTGGAGGCAGCAGAAATCAATTTAGGAGGATGTGATGCTTGAAGGTAATAAAGTCCATTGTGAAGGCTAGCAGAACCAATCACTCTCTTCTGCTCCAAATCCTGTATAAGACAAGTAGTAGATTGAAAGGATAAGCTTAGAGGAGTGGTGGAGGTCAGTCTGCTCACAGACAGGAGGTTAAAGGTAAAGTTGGGAACAAACAGGGCATTTGGGAGAGACAATGCATCATGGCATTTAGCTGTGCCTGTGTGGGTGGCCTGTATTTGAGCTCCAGTGGGGAGAGTGATGAACACATTTGACAGAGGCTGTGGATTTGTTAAGTAGTCTAAGGAGCAGACAATGTGGTCTGAAGCTCCAGTATCAACAATCCATGGTTTTTGTATGTTGGTCATTGCATTCAAGACAGGAATTGAGAGAGAAGGAGTTGGAAGTATACCTTTGTTGCTAACAAAGGCAGCAGCAGAGAAAGAAGGGTGGTTCTTCTGAGCATTCATGAGACTCATGAGCTTGTCATAGTCTGCTCTGGTGAGCTTGACTTCATCTGATGAAGATGTGCTGGTGACAGCATTTGCAGCAGGAGGTCTACCTCTTCCAGTACCAGAAGTTGGATACTTGGGCACAAAGTTCTGTGGATAACCATTTTTTTGAAAGCACTTGTCCTCTGTATGTCCTCTTCTTCTGCAGTAGGTACAAGTGACTGGAGTGCTGCTTGAAGTAAAAGAAGGCTTGGTCATTCCTGGTGGCCAACCATGTTTTTGAAAACAGATATCCTCAGTGTGCCCTTCTCTTTTGCAAAATGTGCAGTATGGTGGTTTAGCAGAAGAATTGAATCTTCTGTTTCCTCCTTGAATGGCAAATGCTGACTGATCAGTGTGGAGAGAGGCCACCATTTTGTTGGATTGAGATCCATAGATATGTCTTTCATGTTGCAACATTCTTTGAAAGACTCGATTAATGTTGGGCAGTTCATCACCAAACAGCACTTGTGCTCTGACTCCAGAGAAGTTTTCATTTAAACCTCGAAGAAACTTGATTACATAACTGGTTTCTTGATATTGAAGAGCTCTCGTCATGGCAACACAGTCTATGTGACTAGTGGGTGTGCAAGTGCATGGAAGAAGTGGCTGATAGTTCTCTAACTCATCCTTTAATGTAATGAGTTTTCCATAGTAATCAGTGACAGTTTGGTTACCTTGTTGAAGGGAGGAAAGTGCTTCTTCAAGCTCAGCAATGCGAATGAGATCACCAGATCCATAACGAGTTTGTAAACTCTTCCATGCTTCTGAAGCTGTTTTGCAGGCTAAGATGGTCTTTCGAATCTCTGAAGAAGTAGATTGTTGGATCCAGCTGAGGATCATAACGTTGTTACGAGTCCAGGCACCATACCTTGCATCAGTAGCAGCTGGCTCTGTGAGTGTGCCATTAATGAATCCGAGTTTGTTTTTGGCAGCAAGGGCATTGAACATTGCCCTGCTCCAGTCATTGTAGTTTGTGGCTGTGAGCTTCTCAGCAACAAGGAGAGCTCCAGGTTGCTCTGATCCGTGAAGAAAGAAAGGGTCAGAAGAAGGATCCACAATATTTGGCTGTGGATCTGCAGGGGCTTGAGCATCTTGCTCAGCCATTGTAGAAGGGTGGCGGCTAGGGTTTTATCAGAGGCTCTGATACCATAACAAAGGAAATTGGAGTAATAAAACCTAGCTTGCTTTTCTCATTACTTACACTGCCAATTTATAGGCAGAACCAGGAACAAGATGACAAAGTTCATACATCTGTTTTGTAGCTTGGAATGGAAACAACTACTGTCTTGGAACGAAAGAAAATACAGCCTTCAACTGGGAAAGAACAATACGCAACACATTGGATCAAACGACATCACAGCAAAAGATATCTCAGCTTGGTTCCAAACGACAGCGCAGCAGGAAAGGAAGAAACGGCAGCGCAGCGTCAAGTTCCGGATTGAGGTGGAGACGACGACGTATGGAAAGTGACCGTTGAAAATGATTTTTCAATCTGTTAACAGGAGGAGGTCGAGGACAAGGCAGCCTGTCGTGGAGGAAGCGCCGCGCCGCGAGGAGCAGGTGAAGGAAAGCGTTGATTGCGCGCCGAATCGAGGTGCGACAAGGACAAACGACGCAGGAGCGGAGGGCGGCCAGGCTGGGCAAGGAGTTTCCACTGCCGCTGCCAACCCTAAGCTCAAGTCGGCGGCGGGTCAAAGTTCCATCTTCATCCTTGTTCCGTTTGCGTTCAATGGTGAGACAAAGTTGCTCTTGGATTCATTCTTATTGTTACAATTAATTGGTTGGAAATTCAGAAAGAAAGGGGAATTTAAGTCACGTGAAGGAAGGGAGGGGAAGGAAAAGGAGCATCCAACCACCAATGGCAAACATGGAAGGGACGAAAAGGACTTGATGCTTGGTAGCCTTCCATCAGCGTTTGCATCCTCTCCGCCGGCCGGGCAGGCTGCTGATCACTTGATTAAAAATGAAACTGACGAGAAGTTTGATTGCTCTGGTGAGGCGCTTTTGAGTTGCGACAGAAGGAGTGGTAGTGCTGGGGTGAACGATGATCAAGATCATTATATAGCTGCTCGGAATAAAGTTGAAGTCCTAGAAAAAGTAAATGTGAAACATGGAGAAGGTGCGGACGATTACAGGACGTTTGCAATGATAATGCCTGAAGCTGGGTATTATATTTTGTTCTCCCGGGTGGAAAGGAGGGTTATGATGGCCATTGATCCGTTATCCCATCTACAGGAAGGGCTAGCTCTGCGAGAGGCTTCGAGGATGGAACCCGAGTATGATTCATCAAGGAAGTGGAGTTCTATAACAGAAATCGCCCACCTAGGTGGAGTTTATAAGGAATTGTGGCAAGAAGTGGACTGTTCAACTCGGGCTGGTGAAGCCCAAGTCGGCCAGGCTGGGAATCCCTGGGAAGTTCAACAAGACACTCATCTCCAGGAAGTTGTGGAGAGAGTAAGAAAAAATGACCCAAAGGCAATTGAAGATTCAATTAAGTCATTTAATTGGCTGAATCCGAGAAAGAGGTATGCCGACCTTGATGAGTTGGTAATTAATGATGGGTTTTTGCACAAGCAAGTACATTGTGCTTCATTAGGTTGTTGGAGCATGATACCAACGAAAGGGAAGCTATTGGCATTTGAACTTGCCACTGAGGCAAATAGTGGGCCCATGAGATTCATAGAGTGGGGCCAACGAGAGGAGATCAGTGCAAGAGGTCTCAGTAAGGAGTTGGAGCATGATTGGAAGAAAATAAAGAGCCAGAGATGGAGGAGCGAAGCCGTGGTTCGCACAGACGACGTGATGAAGTGGGTCGAGTCAATCAACCTTGAGGGCAAGGTTGGTCTGAAGGGGGAGGAGATGTTAGAAACCGATTTCTGTAGGATTTCTTTATTTACTAATATAATTATTGTTAGAGAAAGTATCAATAAGGGTAGTAGTTATTTAGTAGGATTAGGTTTATTATTAGGGTTTCCTAGTACTCCCTATAAATATGTACTTGTGATTCATTAGTAGTCAGTCAAGAAAGAATTATCAACTAAACTCCTAAACCCTAATCTCTCCCTATCCTCTCAATTCTCGATTCCTATCCCTCCAAGGCCTCGGCCGATTCTCTATTCTATTCTTCTTCTTCCCCAAATCCCCAATCTCAATCCCTAATTCTATTCGTATAAACCCTAATCCCCAAATATCAAATCCGTTAGAAACTTTGTTTCTAACAACAACCAACTCCACCCCGCCGACGAAGCGAATCCCCATCGCCGGAAACCCTCGAGCCTCTTTCTCCACAGTTCCTCTGTAACACAGCTCGAAAGGTCTCAGCGGAGATGAGACCGGTGTCATCAGCTCCCAGAAAGCCAGCCTCTCGATCTCTGCCTTCAAAACCTCGAATGCTTCGATGTACAGGAGAAACAACTCCGACCCACTGTCCATCTCAATCTTCTTCCTCAACGCCATCTTCGCGAACACTTGCTTCTTGATGTCCAACATCTTGCCACCCAAGCTGATGCCGGAGAGGTGAACAAAGTACCTGCCGTCTTCGAGGTACAAGGGAGTCGATCCCCCGATCAGGTCGACGGCATCGCCGAAGGATAAGTGGTTGTGAGGGTAGTAACGATCGGACAGGCTGCCGATGCAGTACGAGAAGCTGGTACCCAATCGGGTAACCAAAGGGAACTGGCCATCGGGGAAATCAGGATCGCCGGCTCCGGCCATCAATCCTAGAACCCCGTTGACGTGCGGGTCGAGACCTTCCGGCACGCTCTGCTTGCTAGAACACCCGAAGAAGGCTTTTGGGATTGTGGTCACGAATCCATTGTTGGAGGTTTGAAAGGTCAGTTGCTCGGTGGCGTAGACTCCCTCGGAACTGTGGCCGCCCGCGTAGTCTATTTTGTATTTGCAGTGCTTTGGCGACCATGGCCAACCCCCTTTTCGTCACGCAGATGAAAATTCGACAAATTCATAAATACGAATACGTAAAAAAAATTCGAAAAAACTCAGTAGAGACTTTACCTAATAATTTCTAGTTCGAGTAGCCGCGGTTAATCAAAACAAGTATAGATGAACCTTCTGCTTCTGTCAAATCATATATTAAAGTGAATTCTTTTACTGCCATTTGAAAATTTTAAGATGTAAATGCTGTAAAATGACAAATATTCGTGGCAGGCGTGACTACAAGAAAAACGATGGGACCAAATCGACTATTTCGCTACAAGAACACATCAGCTTTTGCAACGAAGAAATTCCTCGCCGAAAGGTTTACTTTCCGCCACAAACTTTACGGGAAAACCATCTTTTTGCGACGAGTTTTCTTCCGTGCTGTCGCAAAAAGTCAGTTTTTTTTATTGTTTATATCTTTTGATGACCACTTTTTGGTTGTTAAAACTCGTTTTTGTACGATGGATGCGTACCTGTGCATCTTTCGCAATCATCGGTGCAAGGGAACAGAGAGTAAGTCTTGGAATTGAAGGAGTAAAAATAGGTGGCTCCAGAGCTGGTGGAACAAGGACTGCACGGCGGGCATTTCACCCACAACAAGTCGCTGCCGGTGTCCATCAGGGCCAGCTGTGGCACCGGCGGGTCGCCGATGGAGAAGTTGACGTAGAATATGTTGAACTTGATCCCCCAGATCCCTGGGGCCACGATGTCGACAGCCAGAGGCCTGTCGTCGTCGTAAGATGAGATTAGGTGACCGTAGCGGGCGAGGGTAGCTTCGATGATCCTTGCAGCACGATCGGCGGTGGTCGCGGTGGCGTTGTAGAGGGGAGAGAAGGAGGAGTCGCGGTGGATGAGCTGAGTCGTGATTTTGAAGCAGTGGGAGCTGAGTGAGATAGAGAAGAGGATGAAGAGTGTGATTACGAGTGGAGATAATGGTGTTGTTGTCATGGCGGTGGAGAGGGGAAATGAAAATTCAGTGAAAGAGGGATTTGTATGGTTTTGATTTGTAAGATAAATCTTTTTAAAATTTTGCATCTAGTGAAAAAGGCAAACGAGTAAATTTTCCAAGGATGATATGTGTTGTTTAAGAAAAATGGTATGCAATATCTTGATTCTTGAGTATTAATATTCTTTCTAATTTATGTGTTGTTATTACCATGAAATTGTTGGTACATGTACTATAATTTTTTCTTTAAGTTTTTTATTTTATGGTTAATCAAAAATAGCATTAAGCACGAGTAAGCTCTTCATTCGCTTTACATGTTGGCCACACTCCGAATCCTAATGGCTGGGTTGACATAGTTAGGTAATTTGACTCAATTGTCAAGACTCGTGTGCATTGGATCATATTCAAATAATGAACTCTTATGCTCTCTTAATGGTCTCTTAATGGTTTTGGATTATGTCGGAACCCATATGAATCTATTTGGATCCAGATCATGGTACATATAAAGAAGCAATATACTAACTATGCCTTGTATTTAATTATCAAGTACATTTTCTTCCATATGTCCAATTTAATTGTTATTCATCAAATCATTCATTATTAGTATATATATAAAACTTATATTATGCGTAAGTCATGGGTTAGAAAGTAACATTTTGGGAAAAAATCCAAAAGTACCACTGTTTAAAAAAAAATTTCCAAAAATACCACCCAACCCCAAAAAATTCCAAAAATACCACCCTTTTTCAAAAACCGCCACCCCACCCAGCGGTTTGGTCGAAAACCGCTTGTCGGGGGCGCGGTTTTGGACCAAACCGCTGGCCTAGGGGGCGGTTATAAAATAAAAAAAAATTTGGACCAAAACCGCTGGGTGGGGTGGCGGTTTGGCCCAAAACCGCCACCCCAACCAGCGGTTTGGTCCAAAAGTTCGGTCGAAACTTCAAACGAACGTAACTTTGCACTCGGGTATCCGATCGTAGCGATTTTTTTTTTCATTTCGCATAACTTTTCAAGATCTAAAACTTTTACTAGGATGAAATTTTCAAAACAGGGACTATTTGTGGATATACGGGACCTTGAGAATAACTTTACCTTTACTTTTCAGAAATCCATGTACATTTTAAAATTATGATTATATTAAAAATTGTAGATCTTGAAAAGTTATGCGGAATAAAAAAAATCATAACATTCGGAGTTTGGAGCACAAAGTTATGGCCGCCCAAAGTTTGACGAAAGGCGAGACCCGGCGGTTTGCGGCTTGCAAGATCTCAAAAAGTTTGCGGCCTCCATTTTCTGAATCCGAATAACTTTTTGAGATCTTGCAAGTCTCAAACAGTTGGGTTCCGTCTTCGTCTCGAAAAAACGTCATTTGCCACCCCGAACGACCTTTTTTTTTATTTCGTCAAACTTTGGGCGGCCATAACTTTGTGCTCCAAAATCCGAATGTCATGAATTTTTTTTTTATTCCGCATAAATTTTCAAGATCTACAACTTTTAATATAATCATAATTTCAAAATGTACATGGATTTCTGAAAAGTAAAGGTAAAGTTATTCTCAAGGTCCCGTATATCCACAAATAGTTTCTGTTTTGAAAATTTCATCCTAGTAAAAGTTGTAGATCTTGAAAAGTTATGCGAAATGAAAAAAAGAATCGCTACGATCGGATACCCGAGTGCAAAGTTACGTACGTTTGAAGTTTCGACCGAACTTTTGGACCAAACCGCTGGTTGGGGTGGCGGTTTTGGGCCAAACCGCCACCCCACCCAGCGGTTTTGGTCCAAATTTTTTTTTTTTTATAACCGCCCCCTAGGCCCGCGGTTTGGTCCAAAACCGCGCCCCCGACAAGCGGTTTTCGACCAAACCGCTGGGTGGGGTGGCGGTTTTTGAAAAAGGGTTGTATTTTTGGAATTTTTTGGGATTGGGTGGTATTTTTGGAATTTTTTTTTTAAACAATGGTACTTTTGGATTTTTTCCAACATTTTGATATCTAGGTAAAATAAATATTAGCATAAAAACAGTCTATTAATCCGTGCAAAAAGTTAATGAATCAAATATTAATAACAAGTTATAACATAAAACTATGCATCCTATGAGAAGACCGCTCCTTGGCACCAAAGATAGATAACACAAAGATATGATCAGAGGAGAATTGAGCAGAATTAAGGGGATTGAAATTAAGAAACTTGCTTTGTGGGAGTAAAATAAAATTCATGGCAGCAATGTTGTCCTATAGTTCCTTCACCTTTTTGTCCTTATCATCAAAAAAACAATTAAGAACCATGAAAGGGATTTAAGAGAGAGAATTAATTAGGGATTAGAGAAGAGAAATTTGTCTAAATCAATTCCTTAATTATCCCAACGAATCGTCTAAATCACATTACATGTTCTACCAAAAAAAATAAATAAATCACATTACATGATCTTCATTCCTAAACCCAAACCAAACTAACATATCAAAAGACTAATCTACCCTTAGTCCAATCTAGCTACCCTTCCAAAAGCTGGCAATCAATGTCCTGAAAATAAACCCTAGACTCGTTCAAGTCATACCCAACATTGTAACCCTGCTGGACCATCATCCCAACAATGCTAAAACTCTCCGACCTAACAACCGCCAAGCAGAAGACTCCATCGCCGGCCTGAATGAACATCCCGCTACTCTCCACCACCAGCTCCGCGCCGTCGGCGAAGTGCAGCCCCAACGCCTGGAACCCTCGACCTTCTTTACTCACCGACCCACTGTAACAAAGCTCCAACCCCCTCCGGCCCCCAACCTCAGTAAGCACCGACGAAGCCCGCTTCCGAACCTCCGCCTTCAGCACGTCGTAGGCCGCCGAGTAGAGGAAGCTCAGCTCGGATCCGCTGTCGATGAGGATCCCTTGCACGTCGGAGATGTTCGCGAACACCTGTACGTAAATCAGAATTCGGTGAAAATTGTTAGCGTATTATCACTAAAATCATATAGAATTTATGTAGACCACAATGATGGACTCCTAGAATAACATTAATCAATATAGTGAAAATCGCGATTTAAAACTTAAAACTCATATTTTTACGCTCCTAGTTCACAGAAACGCTTCTATGCAAAATCATAGTTTTTATGACTAATGTAGTTAAAAACGCGCTTTAAAAGTTAAAAGCTTATGTTTACACTTCTGCATCGGAAAAATGACGTAAGAACATGCTTTCGAATACATTAACCTTAATACCAATATAAAAACTACCTAACTTCTACAACTATTGATAAGGAATAGAAAGCTGTCAAATTACGTAACAGTACTCGCGTAGTAATAACATAATACTACTGACTCGTACTACCCATACTCTAATACGCGTACCTGGCTCGGTATCCCCAGCACCTCGCCTCCGAGGCTGATGTTCTGGAGCCGGAGGAAGTAGTGGCCGAGGTCGTTGGTGCGGAAGGGGGTCGAGTCGCCGGCCAGATCAGCGTCTCCGGCTCCGATGGAGAGGCGGTTGTAAGGGTAGGAGTGGTCGAACACGTCGCCGACGCAGTAGGAGAAGACGGAGCCGAGTTTGACGACGAGAGGGGTCTCCCCGTAGGACATCTTCTGGATGCCGCCCAGTGCGAAGATTCCGGTGAGGATCTTGTGGAACGGGTTGGTTCCGGTGAGGTTGGTGCTGCAGCCGAACTGGACGTCGGGGACGGTGGCGATCCCGTCGTCGGACGTGCGGAAGGTGAGCTGCTCGGTGGAGTAGATTCCCTCGGAGTGGTCGCCGCCGAGGTAGTCTAGCGTGTACATGCAGTGACTTGGCACCTTTCCTGCGTAACGTACGAAGGAATGAGTCGGTAAATTTTATTTCCATCTAATAATCGCCGTGTAAATTGAAAAATCATATCGTCGGTTTGATCTGAAAAATCGTCTACCAGAATCTAAGCCGGTAAGCTTTTTAAGTAGTATGAAGTATGGACGACCGAATCAAAATTAAACACTACAATTTACACGTAAAATATCACAAAAGCTACAGAGTCGTCCAATAATTTGTGGAAGCACTGTTTTAGAATTGAAAAATAATCTTTCTCAACCATCGTCATTAATCCGTTAAGAAATTCTTGTATCATTTTATAATAAACATATGGCTTTCAGAACACAAATATGATTATTGACGATGCATGTCTTGTTTATATATACATATGACAATATTGAGCAATTACTAGCACTAGTATTAAATAACAAATTTAAACGAATCACCACCATAATCAAACAATTAGACGCTAAAAGTTCATCCTATCTGATAAGCTCATACGTTCATTCCAACCCGACTACTATGACGACGAGGAGTAGCCCAATCCATCGGGAGCAAGGCTTGGCATGGCAAGAGTCCAGCCTTGGTTATTTGAAGGTTTCCGTTAGTTGAAGGAGTCAACTTAGAGTTGTTAGAGTTTTTTATCTTAGTTGTTAGAGTCTTTAGAGTTTAGCTTAATAGGTGGAGCAAGTTTAGCCCATTAGTTGCTGAACGTGGGATTAGTTCCTCATAGATAGGTTTAGTTGTTTTTCCTTTGCAAAACATGATGTATTTAAGTTAAGAGTTTATGGAATAACAGGCAAGCAATTTCAGAATTAAGAAACCCCTGGCCATTCTCGCCAAGAAAGGAGAAACTGGTCTACTCCCGCCAAGAAAAGGGAGCTATCCAAATCTACCCCGTATCATTTGGTATCAGAGCCGTCGATCCGTGCGACAGTGTTTCGATCACGATGAGCTTAAAGCAACCATCAAGAGATGAACTCATCAATCAGATGATGAAATCCTTGGATATAGCGATGGCAGCTTGCCGTAGAGCCATTAAGGCTTACGATAGAGTCACCGCACCACCGCCGCCACTTGAGACCCTCGCCGCCACAAAAGATGCGAAGATCGATTCACAACCAAGTCTCCCCCTGTGCGTCCTGCCATTGCTATCGATGCCTACCGGTGTTGTTGCTACTGTCATTGCACCACCACCGCCACAAATCGAGACCACGATAGCCATGGAAGAGGTGG